ATTTATCATACTCTCAAGTATATATATTTAAATTTTATATTATTTAAATAAATATTTATGAAGAAAATTAAAATATCCAGTTTTTTTATTATATACTGTATATATGATTTAAAGTTATAATATTACAAATTGATCTTAAAAATATATATATATATTTGAAAAAGTCTATATTTATTATTGAATAAAGTATAATAAATAAATAAATAGAATATAATAAATAATAAAAATAATATAAAAGTGAATCTAGATTATTCTTTATTTGATTAAATAGATTATAAAATTAATTAATTTTGAATAATTTAATTTGAAATACAGTCTTTTTAGACAGATTCATTTAAATTATTATTATTTTAATATAAGTATACTAATATAATTAATATAAATAAAAACTAAAATATTATATTATTCTATTAATAGATTTCAGGATAATCTATATTGTATTTGTAAAAATATTCAAATAAAATTAAATTAATTAATAATTAAAAATCATATTTATAAAATTATCAATAATAATAATCATTTTTAATAAGCTTATTTTAAAAATAAATTAGTTATAAATTAAAAATACTATATATCTTGTAAAGATATGTTGTGTAATTATTAAGTTGAAGAATTAATGCGGGATTTAAGTGTTAAATAAATTTATTTTTAGCGAAAATTAAATAAATCAAATCACAATGTTTATTTAAATCTTGCTTTTTATGTGTATAGTACTGAATATATATGGGTGCCGCCCAAATCCCTATATCAAACATCCTGACACCAAAAATTTGGAATACTTAAAGTCACGATATTTCCAAAATTTGGACTTCTCAACATCCTGACATTCCAAAAATGTAAAGGTATGTATACATTTATGAAAGAGTAAAGGTAACGTAAGACTAGCACAAATTTCATCTTTAATCGTTACGATAGTGAGAATCATAGTTTTGAATATATTATCAGAGTTTTGGGAATGTCGGGATATTGAAAGGATATTTCTATATGTAAATTTGAAATTTAAAAAAAAGATTGTTTTCTTTTCCTCTCTAATTAAATTTGCATTTCCTCTGAAATTCCAAATTTTAATTGCTGAATTGGAGTTAGTAGACTGATATGCTTGATTATTTCGAGCTTGCTTTTTTGCTTTCCTTTTCAGCATATAGAAAGTATGTTAATTTTTGTTAGATTGAATATAAACTATTTTTTTTTTACCACGTGAGCATCCTTGCCTTCTTCAATGCTGGCGATTTTAACTTTCAAGGGTTTTTATAAAGAAATACCGATACATGTACACTCGATAAACAAAAGTCTGGAATCGGTTCAATTATGACGTACAATAGTATATTAGAAAGCTAAAATCTCAAGCTTTCCAACAAAATAAAAATAATAAATGTCAAACCCAACCAATACTCGTAAAAATTGCGAACTTACAGATTTTGAATGTGGTGAGATTATTGGCGCTTGGAAGTGTGGTTTATCCAAAAAACCAATTGGGAGATACTCTGGGACGACCCAAATCTACTGTTCATAATGTTATTGATAAATACATTTGGCCACACCACAGTTATTGCCCGAAGTGGTAGACCACCAAAATTAAATGATAGAGCCACTTGAAGATTAATCAATATTATTAAAGAAGATCGACAACAAGAAGTTGCTGAAATTACTGAAAAATTCAATACTGCTATGACTGTAACTGTTAGTGAAAGAACTATATGACGTGCTCTTTATGAATCTTTTTTGGTCGAGAAAATCTTATATATCTAAGGAAAACCATCAAAAACAATTAAAATGGTGTTTAGAAGAAAAGATTGGATTAATGAATGGGAATTAGTAGTTTGGAGTGATGAATCTAAATATTTAATATTCCAAAATGATTCCCGGCAATGGGTTTGACGCAAGCCACATGAAAAAAAATACGATGTTGAACGTCTTCCTACTATGAAATCAGGTAATCAGGGAGTAATGATATGGAGATGTTTAACTTAAAATTCACTTGGACCTTTAATCGAAGTTGAGGGTGAAATTACTGATATAAAGTATATAGAAATAATAGAACAGAATCTTCTGCCATTTGTAAATGATTTGCCAGATAGTTCTGTTCATCTTTTTCAAGATGACAATGCGCTATTTCACAGATTTGGTTCAGCTAGTCAATGGAAAGAGGAAAATTAAATCACTTCACTTCCATGGCCTGCCCAGAGCCCTGATCTAAATCCAATTGAGCATTTGTGGGTTGTTTTGGAAAGACGAATTCGTAAACATCCAAATCACCACAAAAATTTGGAAGAATGATGGATGCACTTGCGGAGGAATGGGAAACAATTGAACCGGAAATTTGGTTGAAAGTATGCCGAGAAGAGTGCTGATACTAAATTATATATAAAAAGCTCTACTTTTACTGAGATTTTTTATTGTAATTTATTTATAGACATGTAACGGTAATAAGTAAAACAAATTTCACAATCTACATTGCTGATCATTTCCCGATTCCCAGACTTTTGTATACCAAGTGTCATCATAACATTTAAGATATCAAACAATTTTGTATAACTTCTAATATATCTAGTCTTCCAATTTGGGTAATATTTAAAATATAAACTGTGAAAATGATAATTTAGTGATGCTCTTTCAGATTCATGGTTTAGTTTTTTTAATTATTTAGTATTTTGTAAAGTTATTTAAGTTTAAAAATGGTCACTTTTATTTTATTTTCGGATGCCGATCGGTCTATTTTAGACCAATCAACAATTAGATATCGATCATTAAGTCACATGACTTTGAAAACTAGCCGACTAAAAGTCGATCAAATGAATTTCCAGATAAATCTGAAATTCAATTAATTAAATTCGAAACCTTAGTTTTGCACATTTTATTAACTATTCGGTGAAACGTAAATATACTGAGTCACTTGATTCCGTGGTTACAGTGGCTCATGGAAGAAATGGAACACGGGAAAAAAATTGGCGAGATACGAATATCTCGCCATTGAAGAATTGTACGGAGTCAAAGGTAGGTGCATTTTATTCGTTAAAATGCTGCTCATCAATCAATGCAAATTTTATTTTTATCCATCATTTTTATTTTACACAATAATTTTTTTTAGTGTTCCGCGTAATACAACTGAATTGGAAGAAGAAATTCAGGGCTCATAAAGATAAGTATAAAAGTATCTTTTTTTGTTTTAGTAGTAGACAGAAAACTAACTGACATTTCTAACAATAGCCAAAATGAAATTTTAATTTCCAATGCCTCGAATTTCCCACGAAAAACATGTCCGCATTTATTCTCTTCGATAAGAAGGGTATTTATTTCGAAAAATCGCCACGTCGGAGCAGGTGGGCGTGGTTTCAGTCCACTGAATATGCAAGAAGAAAGATGAAACTGGAAGCTTCGATGATGATCCAAGACCTGGCCGCACACCAACCCTTTTGCCATGTTATGAGCGAACATAGTACGACTAATGCAATCTGGAAATGATACATCGCTATTCAGATCCAACGCGAGCTCAAAAATGAGCTATATGCGGTAAAAAAAAATACCGATCTCACAGGAGGATTCCAGAAAGTATCTTTGAGAAGTTAAATAAATTAGATAATGAATAAACGTTATAATATAGCGTCAGATTTAATGAGCCAATAAAAATAACGAATATACTTATATCACGTGAAAATCGTCATTTCAAAATTTTGGACTGATCTGCATTTTGATGCATATCAACATTGCTAATTAAAACTTGAAATATTATTCGTTGTGGAATCCACTTAGTCCCCGGCACTGGCTCAGGTGGTACCGCTATTCTAATTCGGGTCGATTCCAAATAGATTCCGTTCACGCTAGCGGACGAATGCAATAGAGACGTCGTAAAAATTCTAATGCGATCAATTAATTGAATGGATATTTTTCAATTTGTGAATAAGCTTATAAGTTTAATTGTTTTTCTGAAAAGCCTTTTTTCCTTAATGTTTTCTAAACGACACGTGTGTACTTTGTTCGTGGTTTTTTTTACTATTAATAATTATAATAAAGTATGGTCTTCCTTACCTCCTATATTCGTTGCACCCTCTCTGCAATCATACTTTACGTAAAGCATAGAAAATTTGATCTCTATGCAGTGTTGGAAATCTGAAAATAAAGAAAAAGTTTTCTAGAACATTAAATTTGTAATTATAATAATATATCAAAGAAAGAGCTTATCTTTATTGGCTTGATCGATTTGTTGAATAAATACAGCTTTAGCCAATAACGATAAAAAAAATATTTTTCTACTTTGTGAGAACTAAATTTTTAATAAAATTGGATTTTGTATCTGATTTAAAATAGATTCAAAGTATTATCTAGTATAAATTCAAATTTTATGTTCTCGAATGTTGATAGAGAACACAATTTTAAATTATTACGTTCACAAATCTTCTTAACGTTCTTGAGAACATTAGATTTCACAATACCGATACGCTGTTCCCAAGGGCGTTATTCTATAGAGGAAAGACTGCACATGTTTGTGTACATGTATTATTCTTATGCAAACACAAAAAAATATCCAAATCCGGAAATTTGGAGCTTATCGTTATTATTTATCATCATCTGCAATAATCCAAGTACATGTAGCTTTTCTGAATTGTGCAAATGAAAGCACCCAATATACAATGATGTTCTTGAGAAGAAGGTATATTTACATAAGAAAATCAAACAATCAAACAAATAAAAAATACAAATGGTCGGAGATCAATGAAATTAGCACCAGCAAGTCAAATATCGATCCCACTTCGTACGAGTAAAAATAATAAGGTATCTCGGAAGAGTTAACTAATTACAAAACGAGACAGAAATTAGTTATTTATATGCTATGTAAATTTATTTAATAGACAAAAATTTACCTCATTTTTCGTGACGATTAATATCTCATTGTCATCCCTGGCGATCACGTCAACAGCAAACATTGCCTTAAATTTTGATTTGCCGCTGCAATATGAAAGTGAGGTTTGGGGATTTTTGGCAAACCACATTTCTGTTAGAAATGAACTCAATTAAATTAATTGACAACTTAATTTTCAAAGCAAAACGGGTAAGAAGAAAGATCGTACTTGTGCCATAATGAGAGAACGAAGATTGATTTCCTTGAGCAGTAATTCCACACATTCCACAGTTTTCTATTGTACAGTCCTGTTTACCCTTTAAAAAGTTGGCAGCATTACAAAGAATCGAAGTTCCATGATACATTTTATGTGTTGCTTTATAATCGTTCTTTTGTTTACACTCACGATGAGCTTTAGAAATAGAATGAGGCATCTGAAGACGCAAAATCGCCCGTATTTTAGACTTAGGCAATTTCTCTTTGAAAGGTTTTGCAACACGATCATAATCCATATCATTTTTATCAAGTAACACAGCCTTCGTTGTTGTCAATTGCTCGATGTCTTTCCAATAGCAATCTTCGCTGCAATAATACTCGTATTTCAATTTAAAGTTAATCGTTTGTGTCTGGGTCTTGTTGTTACATTCTCGTCTTTGGCATTGTCCCGCGTTTTTTAATTTTGATTTCTGAAAGCTTATTTTGGACAAGTCGTTTAATTGTTGTTGGGGTAATGAAGATGTTGATGGTTTCATATTTTTCGATTGCTTTACAAATGATATTTAATTCAATTAAAGACGAATTATAATATTAGCAAGAAAAAAAAGAAAATGCTAAGAACAAGTACAAAGACTTGACAACCAATCTATTTATGGTTTTTAGAAACGCGAATCTCTGCACCAATAAAATAAATTAAAAAAAAAGGATATTTGCGTCTCACAAAGTAGAAAGGAAATTTCGATTAGGTGTACGTATTAGTATCGGTATGATCACTGTGATTGGTCTTTTTTCCACTACTGCGCATAATCATTTTCTTTCGAAAATATGTGTTTCATACTAAAAAAAAGTTACTCATTTATCATTATATGCGTTTTTTTGGAAACAAAATATTAATAAACGGATTAAAGAAAACAATATCAATTGTAATGTTACATATGCACTTGCTAGCTCGCTCTTAGCGTTAGGGTTTATTCAATCAAAAATGATTACACTACAATAATTTAGAATTTCCTCTATTGGCATTCGGATTAGCGCAGTGCGTCTATGATAACTATCCAATAAATTATTGTATTATTATTATTATTATTATTAAAGCATATCGATGTACATGTATTATTCTCGGTCAGGTGTCCCAGATATTTATAGTTTTACGATGGTTGCTACGAAATTGAAACAAGAATTATAAGGGTGTACAACCTACGATACCAAATTTATTGTTGAAAAATGTTTGGATCCTATTCCAAAAGAAGACTAACTGCTGAGGAACTTTGCTTGACTATAATAATGATGATTGGAAATTGAATACTTTGCATTTTTAATACTACAATAATTTAGATCAGATGAAGTAATTATTTAGTGTCTTAACCAGAGAGGCAAAAATTAGGTGAACTTGATGCGAGAAACAAAAAAGTATTCCGACGGATAAAAACAAAAACAACAAATCAAACATCACATTTCAGATGCATTTTAGATATATCAAACATTTAGGTTCTACAAAAGTTAATGTTCCAAATGAAGATAAATTTATTATTTTTCAAAAAATACAGTATCAATGTATATCGAATCAAATTAACAAACGTCCGTTTATATGCACTTACAAAACAAATGAAGGTAAAATTTATTAACGTTAAATATGCCACAGTAATGTTTATTGGTTTATTATAATGATATTTGATATTATCATCGAAAATTCAAATTCAAACTCAAAAAAATCATACAAAGTATTAGAAATTCACAAAAAAATATTTATTGATGCTTTCATAGCCAGCTCAGAAGATGCAAAAAATCTAATGAAAAAAATTCTTCCTCATATCGATATTAGACATTTAAATGAAAAACCATTCAATAAGGCAAATCTATAAGCTAGGATGATTATTTACGAGTTTCATGATTTTTCCTTCGTAATGGATATCTATTATATAATGAAGTATACATGTGCCAAACAATATTCCCGGATGGTGGAAATTCATTATTGAAAAATTGTTGGGATTTTACACAGAAAACAGTTCAGTTTGGAAAACTTTTTGTTAATTCTATCGATGATCCAACAACAGTGTTGTTAACGGAGTGCTCCGGTTTGTATTAAAACATATAACCCGGAGTTGCTCCGGAGTGGGTTCTATGTATTAATACAAACTGGAGCACTCCATTAACAATACTATCCGGCAAACGTCAGTTGGGAACTGAATAATATAAAACGGAACTGATGAAGAAATTAGAAAGCATCACATTGAGAAAATCAAAGATGAAGTCACAAACTAGGAATTCTACAAATGCGAATAAAAACAACAGATTGGATCAAATGCAATTTACACTAAGCCAATCGAATGCTTACTACAAAATTTTTCTTTTCAAACCAATTAAGTTTGATGTTGAATATTTATGCTTTATATAGAAAAGAGATGGCAACTTTGTTAAATTAACAAAACTTACACTTGTATTCCAACATTTTCTAATCCAAGCTGCTGCTTGTGAGTATAGTTGAGAAATAATGATTTTTTATCATAAAAACGAATATATGTATAGTACTTAAATGTACATATTTTCTGGCATATGAAGATATCTAAGTTTCCTTTATTTAATTCTAATTAGTTTTAGAATATACTTTTTGTAATTTGAAAAACCATTAAATTATTTATAAAAACAATATAATCTATAAATACACATATTTGAATAAAATTGATAAACTTTTGATGACGATAAAAGTAATGGTTAAAATAAATATACGTCTGAAAACACACAAAGTAATCGTTTTACGTTTAATATTAATATCTAACCTGTAGATTTTTTGCAAGTCACTTTATCTTTGATTTCGTATCCTGTACTAATATTGAATCTGTTTTTGTCACTAAAGAAAAATAAATTAAAGAAATTGATGAATTTAGAACCTAAATGTTTGATATATCAAAATCAATCTGAAATGTCATTTTGAATATAAAAATAAATGTGCGTACCTGTATCAGTTGGGAGTGGATTTATTGTTTTATTTATATTCGTGGGAATGCTTTTTTGCAAACACATTTAATCAATAATTTCGATTTTTCTAATTTAATAAATCCTTTCTGTTTTAGGATATTCTAAAGAGCTGTATCCAGAAAATGCAAAGTACATGTATTCGGTTTCAGAAAAACATCATTATGGAAGATAAAAAAGATAAAGTTTGAAAATTCTCAGCAGTTGGTCTGCTTTTCATGAATGGGATCACAATTTTTTCAATAATAAAATTGTACCATCCGGGAAAGTACATGTACATGTATTTGGTATCTTATAAATATTTAAAGATCATCACTCACCGAATGATTATTCACCTGATGCCAAAAATATAAATATCGGCAGCTACTACCTCGTGACTCATATAGGGAAAAATTCTTTTTTCTACATTATTAGTCCAAGCTTAGCAATTTGTTTCAGATTGTCGATAATATCGATAAAATATCTTAAATTCTTCGTAGTTTGAATTTGATAATTATAGAATCTGAGTTTATTTTTAAAAAATTTGATTGTATCAGAAAATAATAAAGCAGTTTTTACTTTATTATAAAATGTTCATTTTTTTACCTCGTAAAATAAATAATTCTGTTTTGAATGTGTAATGAATTCAACACAATTTCAATTTCGCTAACTCGTTTAAATTTATTTTTTTTATGATCCCATTTCCATTTAACCAGATTGCTTTATAAATTGTTCTAAAACCTGCTTTTGTAACATATTCAACATTAGTGATCTTTCAAAAGGAATCTATTCGAATAATGTATATTTTATCTCCTTTAATAATTTTTTTGACTTTAATATCTTTATCTCAGTTAGACAATTCGTCGTTATACATCCGTTTGTGATATAAAAAAAGTCATCGTCGTAGAAGTCATCTTGTTGACAATTGTAACACCTACTACAATCATGTGTGAACTCATCGCAATAGTAAATATCCCTTGACTAAGAAAATATTCATTACAATGATGAATAGTTAATTCAATTTTTGAGCTTACATTATAAAAGGCGAATTGCTTGAAATGATAGTAAAACAGACGATATACATGTACATAATGCCGTATATTATGTATGTAGCGGTAATGATTAGAATTCTATGCGTGACAAAAAAACTTAAAATCTCTTAAATATGTAGATATTAAAATAAAAATCAGATAAGCGAAAAAGGCAAGGCAAAGTAGATACTTAATATAAATACTAATAGATAATATTTTAACACAAATATTAATAATTACTACTATTATTACTACTGCTACTATTATTATTATTACTACTACTACTACTATTATTACTATTATTACTACTACTATTACTACTATTACTATTATTATTATTAATAATATTACTACTACTATTACTACTATTACTATTATTATTATTACTAATATTACTACTACTACTACTATTATTACTACTATTACTATTACTATTACTACTATTATTACTACTACTATTACTACTACTGCTATTACTAATACTATTGCTATTACTACTACTACTACTACTACTACTACTACTACTACTACTACTACTACTACTACTACTACTACTACTACTACTACTACTACTACTACTACTACTACTACTACTACTACTACTACTACTACTACTACTACTACTACTACTACTACTACTACTA